CAGTGCTTTATTTGATGCATCATGTCAAGGGTATAATCTACTTGACTGATGCCCTTTAGTTTGAGGTTTTCTTAAAATCATGCAATGGAATCTATGGTCAAAACAAGAAACTAACCTTTCCCTTACCATCCCTTTATCATTTGTCACGAAACTCCTAATCTATTATCTGTTGGCAAAACAGAAAACCATCCAGGGGTTATATTGCAATCACGCCTGACCACACAGCAATAGGCTTGGCTGCAATGAACTATATGGAAAATGATGCTGACCAGCCAAACAGACTATTGTTGACAATGACTTCCATAGAAATCACATGAAATTTATTATCAAATCATCCAGGTTGCTTGTACATGAGTATTGCTCTAGTAACTTTTAATTGAGTTGATTCAGCTAACAAAACCTTACTCTGATCATCAAAGTAATGCATATGGCATATAGTGTGCTGTATGTTACCTGTCAAATATGATGGAAATGGCATTTATATTTATGCTGATTATATAGTGGTTTTCAATAGATTCTGAAACTTAGGGTGAAAAAATTCATACTTTTCCATCCATCATCTTCAATGACAGTTCATTTCTGTTTAGGTTTTGATTGAATTTTGTAAGAAGGTTACAATTTCAGTGGCACGTTTATTTTTCTTACATAATGAGTCTTGTGTGACATGTGGGAGTGAAGTGTGAATGAGCTTTATGAATAGGGGCGTAATACTTTTAACCTTAGACACTTCAGGGGCAGTAGTGTATGCATGCACAGAACCTTGCCCTTATGTCTGTATGTTGGCAACTGGCACATTCAAAACTATTTACACTTGGTGCCTCTTCAGGTAATCAATGTAAATGTCACGGAAAATAATCACCTTTATTTTAAATACCAAATGTCTGCAATATGTCTACCAGCATAATTGCTTTATATACCACATATATACCACATAAATGTTTAAATATCAAATAAGGCAATTAATGATATGGTATTCATGAAGTATATTCCACAAAGACCAGCTTAAGAACATTAATTTTAGATGTGAAAGTCCAATTTGATGCCATTTAATTCAATTTCAATATGAATGAAAACTTATTTCAATTTTTTGGAAATGTTCAATTCCTCTAAGAACACTTGGAAAACAATGTAGACCATCAAACCACACATTAGCCAGGCACCAGTCCAGCTGCCTTCTTGACTCCTTATATTTCTATTTTGAAAGGCCAATTTCTTTTCAGATCTTTATCATTGAGCGTATAGAGCCTAGGGAGCTTATCTGAATAAGACAATAAATTTTGACCACCTATTATAAAATCCTGGCTAAACCTGGTTTCCTAGGTCTACATCATTTCTTGTGCTCTCCATGAAGCCACTGCTCTGTTTACACTTATTACATGCAATCCATCAGGAACCAGTAGTGCACCAACAAAATGTGAATAAATCAATGTACTCTAATCCAAATCAGTACTGCTCACTTGGTGAATCAACAGAACAAATACAGCTGCAGTGTACCACTGGTTCAAAATAGTATCACTGAGAAAGCATATCTCCACGGATAATCAGTTGCAACAGAGGTTGTGCTCTATGTCTGAAATCACTATTAACAGTCTTCTTGACCCTCTAAAAAACTAGACAACGCAGAATAAGGGAGGTAGGGAGGGGAAATGGAGGACAGATGTAAAAGGTGATAGTTTAAGTACATATTCTGATAACTGATGTTTTAATTATGTATAGCTTAGTCAGGTCAGTACTTCTGCTGTACCACCTGTTCTCTCCAGTTCTTTACCTGTGAGTATGCCCACATCAACAAGGCTCACATTACATATAGAAGCACCCCTTAGTATATGTGGAGATTGGCTCTGATTGGAGAGATACTGGAGCAAGCAGCTGATGGCTGTTTCATCAGTGTTAGAAGTATATTTAAGCTAACTAGGTTATTGTTTTAACATTCATAAATCACCTAGTATAATGAAGATAAAGAAGAATTATGAGCATGGCTTTATCATTAATGTCAAATGTGTTTTGCTTTTTTCACATCTTAGTTACTACAAATTTTTGGGAGGGTTGGGGATGGAGAAGAACCTTGAACCTTAAAAGTTCTGAAGTTGAAAAAACATTGGATATAAACAGAAACTACCTTGTGCGTCAAAAATGGTGATCATATCACATAGCGTAAAACAAAGCTGTCAGCACTGTGTGACCATATGAGACCAAAAGTGTGTGAAAATCCCCATGAAGTGAGGTACACGAACTTTTTAGTAATAAGAGTGAAATTCTATGTGTAGGGAATATAATCTTAGAAAGCAATACGAGAATGACAATCAAAACCTGCACTGCTACGAAATTACTAGTAACTAAAATTCTATAGAACCATAAAAATATAGCTTTCATCTGTTGCCACACCAATTAGAACACAACTGGAAACAAGCATTGAGGCTAAATTAGAATTGTTGGAAGTTCTGGGCTGAACTGTACCAGATTTAAACAAGATCCTCAAATAGTACTCATTGGTTTTATTATTATGTCATAGGGCTCATTCCCTTAGACACCACTGGTCTGCATAGATCAATCCAACTATGCAGGGACTCGCTGAATGCAATCAGTTTAACATATTAACACACCTCCTCCAAGCCTTGAGAAAAATACAGAAAAGCTGGTGATTACATGAGTATGTTGGAAACCAGGAGGTGTGTCATTCAGTTAAGCTGATTGCACTGACTAGAGGGAGAGTTCCTGCAGAGTTGGATCAATCTACACAGACTGATGGTATCTATAGGAATGAGCCCATAGATAGCTTCAGCCATCTTATCATTTCATCGGCCTTGGTTTAGTGCAGGGAGTCTGTGATAGGGACTACTTCCATCTTTCAGTGGCTCATTTGATAATGCAGATCAATATATACTGTAGTCACCACTTAGTCTGGATTGTATCACAGACAACATAGACTTTAATGGAAAAATGTCAGTTAAAAGCCAGCTATACGAGGTAGGGGAAGGAAGCAGTCATAAGCGTAGCTTGGCTGCAAGATATATTATAAATCATTCACTGAATATAAATCTATAGCTTGTTGTTGTTTTTTATTTTTTGCATGACAAATTTTTTTTTAATTATCCCTGTAAAAAGTTGAGTATGTTTCTAAAGAAAGAGCACTATGTACACAAGAGGGCAGTATAATAAGGATAAAGGATAGGGATTTTGCCAGGAAAGTCCAAAATTATGGTACCAGCAGCACTTATGAGAATTTGAACAAGCTGTCCAGCCATAAGATAGGCAGTTCTCTGCCCAAACAGGCTGTCCAAATGACAGCTGGACGTCTCGCTGGATAAACACTTGGTCTAACCAGACATTAAAGTGACTCTCCATGTGTTTGAAAATCCTCCACAGTAATTTTTATGTCCTGCAAAGCTTCTTGTATTTCCCAATTCAGACTGTAAAGATGATAAAATCATTTTAATTGAAGTTTATTCAAAGCATACCTAGTGTCATTATTATCTCCTCGTCCTCCATGGCAATTCACAGCATCTATATTATACATGCCCATGACAGTGCCAGGCCGCGATACAAAATACTGCGACATTTCCATGAGTGAAAACAAGACCATGAAGGTGGAAGTTGAGAAGGCTATGTCATTCTAAATGACTGGCCAGCCATGTAGAACTAAATTATAAATTAAAAATGAAATAAAATATATATTAAAATCAAGTGCAGGAACGGGTCAACCAGTGATTTATCAATAGGGCAAAATTCCCTTTTAGCCCAGAAAGATTAATTTTTGAGGGTAAATTCCCTGGAGAGTGACTTTAAGAAAGCCCTCCATCTTCCTGGCATTTCACAAGACACATATTGCATGAAGTGAAAATGTCAATGATCCAATTTCACTTCATAACAAGAAAATGACTGTGGGGTTTTATATTGTGGCATTGTATTGGGTTTAGTTTTGACAATATCATTTGTGAAGATGAGAGATGCCAAGTCTTGGAACTTGCAAGGTTTAAAGCTCTGAATAAAATAGTGAAACCAGGTATACGTTTCAGATAAATTTTTATTCAAGGAGTCTTTTATTTTTTAGGTATGAATTGGGAAGATAAGGAACTTTGCAGGTTATAATGCTGTGGGGCCATTTTGAAGAAGAAATGTCATTTTTTCTGGTAGTCTAGAGTTATGCTTTTTGGGAATTTTCAAAAGCAGGAAGAATACTATGTAAAATTTAAAGGGCCAAATTTAAATAATTTTTTTAAGAAACCTGACAATCATTTCATACTAGTAATCAAATGTTGGATACATTACCAATGTCAAAAAAATACAAGTGCATCAAAGTAACATACTTACACCGCAATATGACATCTGTCAACACCAATGTCACTGTTAACAGAGGTCATATGAGGACCTCGTCAAAAATCAACACAGCAGCGTCCGTAATGATGCATAAATAATGGTAAAACTGGGTTAAGCATACTCAACCCACCTTTGGATCCTTTTCGTAGTAATACTGCTGAGTTCTGATCCATCTTCCGACTAGATGATCTCTGACGGTATGTGCAAGAGCAAAGAAGTAATCTCTCGGTGTTGCAACATTTCTGTCCTTCACGATCGTGTAGTGGAGATGCCGGTTAAAGGCTTTCTTCATTCCTGCTACATTTTCCACTTGTGCAATCCCCCTAACACTAATCTGCTTGCGCCTATCGTAGTCGCTTGTTGGTGCAGCCATTGTGAACGCTTGGCAGCTCTTAAATTCTGAGCAGTACCCCTTCTACTGCCCAGCTGAGTTCGACAACTTCCCTGCAAAGTTGTTTTGACCTTGAGGATGGGCATGCGCGTAATTTGAGACCAAAATTGTCAATCTGTTCGAAAATAATGAAAGGTGTGACAGAATACATTTATGTGATGATAAGAGATATGTTTCTTTGGTAAGTATTTTAAAGAAAACATTTTTTTTATTTATTTTGTACGTAGAAAATTTTTGCATGTAAGTGGCTGAATCTTGATTTTATTTCACCCTAACCTTGACCTGACGGGTGACCTAGTTTAATAAAGCATGGGCAAGAAAAGCAGAATCGCGGTGGATAAACCCTCCGTTGATAAAAAAGACAGCTTTCAGCTGCAAGATATACTTGATTTAGGCGGAGATAAGGTATTTTGAAATAATATCACTAAAATGATTTTCATTAATATATTATCACCGGCTAGCTACTGTTTTTCGAAAGTAGTAAGTTCAATTAACTTACCCAACGATGCCAGTCACTGGGAGACTTGAACATTATCAATGAAAAAAAATTACATATGTAATATTAACTATATTGTAGACCTTAAAATATGCTAATACAGTGATTTTTTAAAAGTATTTAAACATAATTGGTAATGGGAGTGTTTTTCTTACTGCTAAAATTAAACTTATTTATCAAGGATGACTTGGAGCTTCTTCAAGACGTTGATGATGAAGATGAAGAGGAGGCTTTGGATGGGAATGAACACGATTATGAATCAGAACCTGTGAGAAGGGATGAGGTATTGTACTGAGCATGAACATTATACAGATTAAGTACTGATCATGACATATGAAAGAGGTTTCTGAAATAATTTACATGCTCGGCTGTCACCTGGATTTGTTAATGAACCAAAAAAACACAAGAAATTAATTTACGATAGGTAATGTAATGGTGTTATATATTTATAGAAGTTTTATATTATACCTAACATATCACTCAGAGTTTATTAAGAATGTAGACAGCTTTGGAAACAAAAACTGTGCCTAATAAAAATTAAAGTAGAAACAGACATCGAATCACCCTCATACCAAATCCATCTACTTTGAAACGGGCCAAGCTACAACATCCAATTCTTCCTTTGTACATTAAAAAGATTTTCAGCTGGAAATCAAAAATTTAAAGCAGACTTCTTTGCCATCAGCTATCTCAGCAAAACCAAAAGTGATGTAACTTGGAGTTCAGACAAAGTGGATTTTATGGAATTAGGGGCCAGGTCATAGGGTCAGTATTTTTTACTTGACCTCAAGGTCATCCTGTTTGGTTTCATAGAGGTAGTTGCTGGCACTCTAGTCTGCTATTTGTGAGTTAGCTAATATTATTGATGTTTCAGGTAAAAGCATTAATAGAGGAACTTGGTTTGAAGAAATACAGATTCAGAAGGTATGTTTTTAGAGTTAATAGTAATAAAATAGCATTTGAAAAGTTAATCTTGAATTAACTTAAACAGAAATGTGAATATAGTTTTAGGTATCTTGTTAAGATTCAGTTTCATTATATTGCTAAAACAGAAAAATAATGTTAACATCCACCATATTCCATTTTGTTTGTAGTGAAGAAGATGGAAATGGTAAAAAAGAAAAAAAGAAAAAACTTTTGGTCATGCCTGGATTTGAAGAGCAGAAAGATGAAGGAAAACCTCCACCTGAAACACAGAAGAAGACTAAAAATAAATTTAAAGTCCAAGTAGCTGAAGTCAGTAGTACAACACTGAGCCAATCAGATGACACAGAAGTGAAGGACTATATTAATTCATACACACAAAGAAAGTATTTATTGGTTAAGCCTGGTGGAAAGTGGTTTGATAATCAGGTGAGCTTTTTGTCCCATCTTTCACTGAAACTACTGTGCAAGGCCTAAGTTGACCAGAGTTGCTAACAGAGTTCATAACTGGTTAAAATATTCTTATTAGTAACACAGTGAATTATATGATTATGGATACTGAAACCTTTGGTCAAATATGTGTGTGATAAGAATTTATCTATTATTAATATAAGTAGTATTGGCAAAGTGTTTCTCCTTTGGCGCATACCTCTGTTGAACCCTTTATTAAAAATTTCACATTTGTATAATATCTATTTTTATTACATCAAATGACATGGTACAGTGTCCTATTAAACAATGTACTGTTTATCGCTTTCTTAAATCAGTGGGATTCTTTATATGTTAACTATGAATTACATATTTTGCATGGTTTTGTTAATAGGTGAAATTATAAGAATAAATGCAAACTCATAATGACAATATGATGTTGTTATAGTAAATTTTCTTTTTTTTTTTCAGTTTGAAAATGATCCTGTTGAGTTTGAGGCAGCCTCCAAAGAAACGATAAAATGTTTGGAAGAGTTTGCATCTAGGATTCTCCAGGATGAGGTTACCATATATAATAAACGTAAGAAATTATTGCTAATTTGCTTGGTTGAAATATGATTAACTTTTAATACTGTCTTCAGTCTCTGAATTGATTCAGGTCTTTGTGTGAGCATTACAGTTCAAGCAGTATATATACTAACATTAGTGTAAATTTGAAACAAAACATTTTTTAGAAAAAGATGTGAGGAAAGGTTCAGATGCAAAATGGATGAAGACAGTAGTGTCCTCTGGAACATTGGCCGACAAGATGGCAGCACTGACCATACAAATTCAAGACAGTCCTGTTCATACTCTCCCTAGCCTTGATTTGCTGATCAATATGGCAAAGAAGAAAGGCAAAAGAGAATGCATGCTGGCAGTAGGTAGGTGTAACATTATACATGGTTGTTACAGTATGTAACATATGACATTGGATGAAAGTACAGATAATTGCAATAAAATCAGATTACTTAATATATTTTAATTTTAGCCTCTAGCAGGGGCGGATTTAGGCCGTCTTCTGGGTCTTCTGGAAGACGGTCAGATTTTCAAGTTTACATTGAAGGGTATCTATTTTTTTTTCTGTTGGAAGACGGTCAAAAATGGAGGATGGGTCAATTAAGATAACTTGGAAGACTGTCAGAAAATATCTCTGGATCCGCCCCTGTCTAGGAAATGTAAGGTGGTATTAAGAAGTGTGCTTTTTCATTTGCTATTTATAGTGGTATATTGTATATTGCAGTCATTTGTTAATTCTGTTTATTTCACAGATACTTTGAGAGAACTGTTTATCTCAGATCTCCTCCCAGATAGAAAACTGAAACCTTTTGAGCAGGTAAGCTAGACATTTTACCTGAATTTTGACACACATGTCACATTGTGGAATCAATCTCTTGAATAACTGCTTCTTTTTAGGAAACAACACATAAGTTCTTTGTGCTTTCATAAACCCACATAAGAAGGTTGTAGAATCACAAATATTAACATCTGGAGTTATTTCAGTATTGAACATGTATATTTCTTATAATAGTCAGGTTGATAAATGCAAATAATCATAACTTTCATTTTTATGTACAGACNTGCAGTCTAAGTTGGAAAAGCAGTCTAATTGACTTCTTTTTCTGGAAGTTATACATTTTCAAAGTGTAAACTTGTCACATATTTTAATTACATTGGTATTACCTGTTGAGGATAATTAAAATTTGATGTTGAATTTGCAGTTTAACATAATGTATTTTTGCATCAGAATTGTCAGTAGCCTGTTTTGTGCATAGTTATTTCCTGTTTTTTGTCTGTACATTTGACAGCTTTGCTGCCTTGTTTGTCTGTACATTTGACAGCTTTGCTGCCTTGTTAACACCTTACTATACCTATTTTGACTAGAAAGCATACCTAAATTGAAAAGTCAACACTTTTTGCAATATATTTGTGACCCTTATGACTTGTAAGAGAAGAATAAAAGGAATACATTAGTTACATGGTAAGATTTCAAGGAATTCATTGTTTCTGTAGCATCCCTTAAGCCAGCTTGCCTCCCTGACCAGTGGGAACAAGGATGCGCGGGACAAGAGACTGGTCATGTGGTACTTTGAGGCTCAGCTCAAGTCCAGATATGAGACAGTTGTCAAAGCCTTGGAGGTAAATCCTAACTGGTATTTTTTTTCTACGTACCTTGTTTTTGACATTTGTATTGTCCAAGGTTAGGGTCCAGAAATATGAATAGTAAGATTTTAAACAGGGTAATGTTTATGACACCGCATCATAGTTTTATGTGTTTTTTTTATTTGATCAGTTTGCATGTATAAAACAATGTTTGTTTGTGAGATTGCTTCAAATTATGTTTTGGCTTTTTTTTTTTCAGCACATAGCACATGACACCATTCCAGTAACAAAAAAGAAAGCTCTTAGTAAGTATGATTATGTAAGAACTATCAGTTAATTGTATATTAACATAAAAATCTGTACAAAAATTTAATTACAGTGTCATTCAGGCCTGTTGTAATATGTAATATGTTAAACTTCGTGTTTTAAAGGAGGATCTTGTGGACATTAACATTTTATCAAAAGTAATATATCATCTTGCATTAATAAAAAATATACTCAGTGTTTGGCAATACATACATTACATTTTGTATCATAGGTACAGTATTTGAACTGCTTGTAAACAAACCAGAGCAAGAAAAGGCCCTGTTGTGCTTACTTGTTAACAAGCTAGGGGATCCTGACTATAAGATAGCAGCCAAAGGAGCACATCTACTGTCTAGACTGGTTGACAGGCATCCCAACATGAAGACTGTGATTGTTTTAGAAGTGGAGAGGCTTTTGTACAGACCCAATATATCTGTCAAAGCTCAGTAAGTGGTAACTGTAATATTACAGTATTGTAGTGTCATTATTAAAAGTGTCATTAGAGCTTTCTGAAAGGCATAATATTAGTCATTTTGCTTGTACACCAACAAAGAAAAGAATTCTCTATCACTAATATTAAGATAGGCAAAGGTTTACTGACTATACAACCTAATGTTTGCCTGCAGAGTGAGAGGATGTGGGTTCAGCCCCATCCTGGGACATAACAGGCATATTACCATTTAATGTAAACTGCTCTGAGACATAAAGGAGTATTGTTTATAAGAACCAGACTTTACTTTTTACTTAACATATTAATGAAAAACCCAGCTCACTTGTACTTTTATGTTTTAGGTATTATGCTATATGTTTTCTGAACCAGCTGAGGTTGAACCATGACCAGGCACAGCTGGCTGGAAGACTGATTGGTGTCTACTTCTCATTCTTCAAGGTGCTGGAAATGTTTCTTTAGTTCTTTGTGACCCATTGTAATACCTTAAAGTCAGTTATGTTTTCTTCTTCTGAATTAGCCTCTGGAAAAAACTGAAATCAGTAGTCTATAATTGGAGTAAGGGAATATATTTAATTTGTTTCCCATTTTGGAAAACAACTTTCTTGCAAATTTTATGTGATTCTGTTTTATTGTGTGCTTTTTAGTAAATTGTCTGACTTTAGTTTTGTATCAGTGGATTAGTTGAAATGTGAAGAATGGTTTAGAGTTTTTTGTATACATATATGCTGTCAATGCTTTTCTTTGGTTTCAGGCATTTGTTAAGAAAGGAGAAGTTGACAGTAAAATGTTAAGTGCCTTGTTGACAGGAGTTAATAGAGCATACCCGTTTGCTAAAGGTAAGCATATGGATTTCTACCAAGTACAGTCTTAACACACCCTGTTCTAGGTATTATGTTTTAAAAATATTGTTTCTCACAGCTTCATTTAGGTATTGTCTCTTATATCATATCTGATGCCTCTTTTAAAATAATGATCGCAATGAGATTATGAATATTCAGTTATAAAATGATCAAAACATGCCTATTGGTTTAAATATTTTAGTAGCCAGTTGTTTACAATCCTTTTGGGTTACAAAGATTACTCCCAAAGAGTAAAAAAGGAGTTAAGGAGAAGGAGTACGTTTTCTTTAATTATGAACCACATGCATGTAACACCATGTAAAGAAATATCATGAGTTTTTATTCCCATAGTTATCTATCATTAAATCTATTTATTAAGGATTGGAATTTTATTTTATTCAGTGGACAAGACAACCATTGAGGAACATGTGGGCACCTTGTACAAGATAGTTCACATTGTGAAGTTCAGTACAAGTATCCAGGCATTAATGTTGCTGTATCAAGTCATGGATTCCAGGTATTCACCACAAACACCCAAGCATGCTGGCATGGGTGCACACAGTATTTGTTCCAGCACTGAGTCTGGATAAAGTCCTTGTTTGAGTGTATTGCAAAAGATGTTTAAGTTTATAAAATGGCCAGAAATTATACTGAGAGCTTCACATACTTTCAAAATATTTTTTCTACATTTACTTTTATTCTAGCCTAAGTAAACAATTATTCTATCCATTAGCCTATTTTACATCGCCTTCTAAATGTCTCAATATATTACATGCGAGTAGAGTTTGTGCTTTAGTCCTATTTTTCTGCCTGTTCCAGTGACAGTCTTTCGGACAGATACTACAGTGCTCTCTACAGGAAAATGGTGGATCCAGAATTGAAGACGTCCTCCAAGCAGACTCTGTTTCTCAATCTGCTGTTCAAAAGCATGAAGAAGGATGTGTCTGATAAAAGAGTTAAGGTAGTACAGTGTCTTACAGTAGTGTTTTGATATGTTTTTATTATATATTCAATAGTAAACATTACATTGTCACATTTGGCAGTTTATGAAAGGCCCTATGGTGGATGTTACAGTGTGTATTACTAAGTGGTTTTATTGTGATTTATTGTGTAGTGCTAGACAGACTGACATGTTCTTTTGATTCTTTTCAGGCTTTTGTAAAAAGACTGCTTCAAGTTTGTCTATATCAGACGCCACCATTCATCTGTGCTGCATTAATTATACTCTCTGAGGTAAGCGACATAGACATGGCCTGAGTAGAATTTTCATAACATTTTGCAGAAAACAAACTTGATATTCTTGTTATTATATGCCAACTAGTGAACTAAACCTATATAAGTCTATATCGAACAAACTTGACATTTTATTATGGCATTTAAATACATTTCAGATACTGAAGTTAAAACCACAGGCACTGCAGCTCAGCCACATGGCAGAGGTAAAACACTAAGTTTAAATAATTCATTGCTATGTACTAGAAAGATATTATCATACTCTGTATAAAGATGGTAGTAAATCTTTTTTTTATGGTCACAAAACTACTCAAACTATAGTACTATTTTCATCATGCATTACTGAGTTTTAAATACTGTACATTTTATAGATTTTCATGTAAAAGTTTCTATTATTTTCATATATTGAAAAGTATCTTGATTTTTGAAAAAGTGGATGGGTATTTCTACTGGTAGTTTCTTTTTCAAATTGATCAGTGTACACAATCTCCAAGCAGTTGTGTCTTGAAATTTGTATTGAGTCTAATTGATTAAATCTATACATGTAACATGGTTGAATGGTTTTATGGCATCTCGATACCATAGACATTGGCCTTATGTTGTGAGTCAATAAGGACTATAACCTTTTATATTATAGGAATTAGATGAGGATGAAGAGGAACATTTTCAAGATGTAAGGGAGGAAGGAGACGAAGGTCAGGAAACCAGTGACAAGACTAATGAAGAGCCAAGTGAAAATTCTATCAGCAAACCAGTAAAGAGCTCTTGGGTCCATAGGCAAAATTTGGGAGGTAAACTCAGTATTGCAAAATCTATGACAAAATCTACATTTTATAATTTAAGTGCTGTGGAGGGGTGATACACAAAGATTTGTGTTATAAAACTTTGTTGCAACAGAAATCTATAAGTATAATACATCAATATCACTCTTTAAATTGAATATTTTATGGCCAAACATAAAAGCCCTCTTTACATTTAAGTTCACATCATTCTGTCTTATATTTCAGTGAAGCAGGAGACTGTAGATTATGATCCCCACCATAGGAATCCTCTGTACTGTAAAGCTGATGCTGCCAGTGAGGTGGAACTGAAGCAGCTAGCACAGCACTATCACCCCTCTGTGGCCTTGTTTGCACAGAAAGTGCTGCAAGTATGTGAATCTGGATTCTGTAATTACCATGCAAATTTTCACTAGAAATAGAAGAAGAAAAGTCAGCAACATGATTTGTTTTCTTTGCTAGATTTCAAGTTGTTTTACTGACATGTTTGTCAATGTGGTGAACATATTTAATGAAAAACTGCTTCCACATATCATAGGGTGCATTCCCATAGATTTTAGATCAATCTAGCCCCGTGGGGAGTCTCACTAGATTACTTTCAGATAATCTGGCTTAAATGTCCATCCCACCTACTACAAGCTGTAAAGGGGTAATTAACTTTCGTGCCTGCTCAGCTGACAGCTATTTAGCGTGAACCCCCAGGGAGTTAGGTCGATCTAGTTGGATCGATCTGATCTCTGGGAATGGGGTCATATTTACATCATTAATACCCACAGGGTTAAAACATGGATTGTGTTGGTTTCTGTCACACCTAACACATTCTGTTTGGTTACAGAGAGAATTGGTGTCGTATCCAGGGGATCCTCTTCAGGATTTTACTCTCATCAGATTTCTAGACAGATTTGTGTTTAGAAATCCCAAGAAGAAAACAACAGGTAAATTTCACTGAAAACGTGAACAAGCAGTTGGGAATTTTAAAAATATGTCTCCTTTGTCGATTGTAGATAAACCAGTTTCTTTTGGTTTTACACATGTGTCATACTTTTTATCCATTTTGTATAACTTCAGCTGAAGTGACCGGTGGTATAATGAACCGTAAGCAGCGGGGGTATCAGCCCCAGGGTCTGAAGGCAGTACCAGTGAATAGTGAGAAATACTTGGAGAAGGGGGAGGAGGGTGTCCCAGTGGATGAAAAATTCTTTTATAGGCAAGCTTGATGCACCCTGTAGTAATTAAGCATTTAATAGTTACAGTGCAAAATAATACCATGAACTAAACGCACCATTCACAAATATTTTATGAACTGTTGTTGTTACAATTGGCATTATTCAATTTTTAAAAAAATTATTTTCTGAATTGCAGTATTATTTTCTATGTCAGAAATAAGTCTTGTCCTAATCAGAAGTAAATATTACCCATCTGTGATTGGACTTTTGAAGTTTGCTCTCCCCCACATTCTTCATAGTTACTGTGTTACCTAGCCTTCATAATACATTTTGTATTGTTACAGGTATTTTAGTGAAAAGGCATCCAAAAAGAAGGAGGTAGATGATGAAGATAGTGATGCTGAAAGCGTCAGTGATGAGGAGTTTGATGACTTTTTAGGTATGTCTTTAATATCATCTTGCCTAAATTAAAAAATAGATTAGATATTTTAAAATGTTTTTATGTTGGCGGTATTAGATGAAACAATGTCAATTTACTCATATGAAAAGTCAGTAGCTTTACTGCACTTCTCAGCTTTGAATGTTTTCTTTGTTTTTCTTATTAGGTGACATTTTTGTGTAGGAGTAATATCTGTCATTTCAATGTTATACATGAGATTTGTTGTGAAGATTTACTCAAAACCTGCCTCTTATGTTTACTGTTCTCTTTTTTCAGATTCTTATGAGAAACAATTTGACATGGACCAAGATGTAGAGTTTGACTTTGCAGGGTAGGATTGCTGTTTTCATTTTTTTTATTAATAGAAAGTTATTTGAAATAAAACATAAGCCCTGCTACTTATTGTATCATATTCATTTTGATAAACTGCATTTTTCTCATTTAAAATAATTTTTATGTCTAATATGAATACATGCTTTATTTTAATATCTTTACCAGAATGGATTCATTTGAATGAATTTTTTCTAGTGAGTTTGGAAAACAAACAAACAAGAAGAAAAAGAAACCTGATGATGATGAAGAAGAAGAAGATGATGATGATGATATGGATGAAGATATAGATGATGATTTATCAGATGAAGAGCCAGATTTTGGTGATGATGACTTCAAGGATGCATTTGTTGATGAAGATGACTTTGATGGGGAGGATGAAGAGAACTCAGAACTATCTGAAGGTACTGGGAAAATAATTACAATTAAATTTAAATTTTCTTGCATCTTGCACATAATTCATGTAAATATTATATAACGTCATGTAAATTTTACATGATATATACTTGTGTCTAATTTGATGTTGACTGTTGGACATTTATAAAATTTATTCTCTTTATATTGAAAATTGTTGTATTGAGTTTTTAGTTTAAAATTGCACCAAACCATTTTTTCTCCAGATGAAGCTGCCATATCAAAAGCAACTGATCGGAAACAAAATAAACGACATTCAGCAGATGACTTTTTTAGCGGAAAGGGGTCAAAGAGAAAGAAATCAGAGTAAGAAGTTGAAATGAGATAAAATATCATATTTCTGATTATAGATAAGAATTATGCAAAAAAAAAAAGTAGTCTACAATAAAAAGTGTACAGTCTAGTATAATGTGTGCACAGTATGTGAATATAATAAATGGTCTGGTTGTTGGATGATAAATCATACATATTAAGTCATAATTGCCTGTTTATTCAACATGCATCACATATATGTATTCTAAAATATTATATCATTTGTACTTTTAATTTAGATTTGACACTTCTGGGCTGTTTGCTGCTGCTGAGGAAGTGAGTGACTTTATATTTTAATTAGATCATAAGCTTCATTACAGATATTGATATGATTGCTTTGTTAAGAAGTGTATCACAGGATATAATTTCATTTGGGTAGACAAAAACTATCCCACAAATAAATGTGGGGTAATGATTTTATCTTTTATTCAAATTGGAATAACTGATTCAGAAACTATGCTTAAGATGGACTAGCAATTGATTAAAGGAATTACAACTGTTCCTTTTGGCCAAAAAATGTCTTTCCTGGGGTAAACAACTATTTTCCCATACCTACCAGTGGTTAATGAATCCATTCTGGCATCCAAAGTTAGACCATTTTTTATTCCAAAAAGTTTGGATTTTAAGAGATTATTACGTAGATATAGCTACCTTTGAAGGTGTTCGTGGTCTAATGTCAATCAGATTCCAGAATAATTGCAATAACTGCTGTTTTGGTGGTAACATGGAATTAATTTTATTTCTATAAGTTGTTTACAATGTTTTTATTGTGAAATATGAATCTCATACAAACAGTTGTTATGCCTTTAATTTCTCAAAGCTAGAATGTGGAAAAATAAACAATAGAGGACCATACTGCCTTGATTAGTTGTATGAAAACTGGGCAGTTTTTATTTTAGATAAGATAACAAAATGCCATTTCTTCATCTCTCTCTCTCTCTCTCTCTCTCTCTCTCTCTCTCTCACAATGTATTTTAATATGTAGTTATCATTTTAAAGTTGACATTTTCTGCTAATGTATTTGTAGTTTGCCCATCTTATTGATGAGAATGCCAGCTCCAAGTTAGATCTGATTAGCACGGAGGCTATGTCAAACAAAGATAATGCAGGTAGGTGCAGTTATAATTACAGTTATTTGTGACGCTAGCGTACCTCGCACATCTCTTTCCTGTGTGATAATGTAATTCAGAAAAAGGATAGATGCCAAGTGAAGATAAATTGGGGTGCTCTGAAATTACCCGTGACTTGTAAAAAGATACATATCGTTGTCACTCTCGTCAATATTAAAATGTGTGTATGAACCTTACTTAAAATATTGTTTACAAAACAAAATGTACATTGGAAGTGACTGATTTAACTTTATGAAAGAGGTTCTTTAATTTGTTTTGGATATGAATGGATTTTTTATTGTTTTGTTTACATCTACTAAGGCCAACTTGGTATTATGGTGGTTTGAAATTGATTGATTAATGTATGGCCACCTCATGAATTTTTGTGATAATTCTGCAATCATTTAATTCCAGGTGTGAAGCAGTTGAAGTGGGAAGCAGACAGGGACCTCTGGGTGCAGGGTCGAGACTGGAGGACAAAGAAGAGACAACAAAGAGGTGCAAAACACAGAGGACAGTTTGCTGGAAATAAACCCAAAAAACAACAGTTTAAGGGCAAAAAGAAGTCAAAGAGTAAAAGATAATATTTGATGCATCTAGAATTGCAAAGAATTGAATATTTTTACTGGAGGTATTCTGCTGGTTCAGTTTGAAATTTAAAAAAAGAAACTGCAATATTTTAAGGAATAAATGGAATATTATTTTCTCATTATCATGCCAAATTTAAATTAACTATGAAGTATTGTGGTAATTCAAATTTGAATCATAGATGAACTATAAGTCAGAAAATAAAAATTCATCTCAAAATGTGTAGTGGTTTCTTTCTGTTGCATAGAATGTGTTTATTACTTTATCACACTTTTGTGACTCAGTAGTGGTTAGGACTTACAACTGACCACTGATAATTTTATCAAGTGTTGCACTGCCCCACCCAACAATTATCATGTAGTCTCTTCAGATTTGTTTATAAACAACTCGATTGATCCTGATAAAAGTCATGCCAACCTGATAATGTTAAAATTGATACAAACAAAAATTGGTTTGTTAGTTTCCATAAAAGATGTAAACAAATATTTAAAGGAGCTTGTTACCACAAAAGTGAGGTATTATATATATATATATATATATATATATATATATATATATGTTTTTTGTTTTTTTTTTAAACTGAATTGTAGTATTTCTTTATTACTTATGACCAATCACTAAGACGGGGATCTGGTGCCATTTTAACTACATTTGTGATAGCATGATGTTTTGCACAAAGATTAAATAATAGAACCTTTTATTTCAAGTTTGTGTTGAATGCGCTATGGGGATAATGTCACTAGCATAGTGTTTCAATGCAAAAATCTTGGTTTTCCTTTAAACTGGTTTATCTTTAAAAAGCAGTGTTGTTGTTTTTTATAATGAAAGCTGCTCAGAATAAGTCGGCAGTTATCAGATTAGGAGTATGGTCTTAAATTGCTAGACCAAAAGCTACAATTGAGGTGAAGATCCTGACTTCCTACTGTGCCTAGATGGTTATCTGAGCGTGACTTGAGAACTACTGGTGAAGACAGGCTAATGAGTCACGCTGCTTACTGTTAAGTATCTCGAATAATATGAATAGGAGAATTAATGATTCAGATTTCCACAGTTACAATGAGCTCCATCTTCATTTGGGGTGCTAGTGATGAACTTTCAATCATGTTTTATTTCTACTGATGTATTATTTACATTCTAGTATTTTTTTCCACATGCTCAGGCTTTCAATTGAGCAAGTATGGATTGGAAACTGATTGGTTTTCTTTTTGTTTTATTCTTATTGACAAGAAGTGGCTTTGTAGATTCAGTGGGGGACAGGGACTACCCTGATGCAGATATACCAGGCCCATGTCAAGGTACCCCTTGTACTTGTATCTTCACAAAGGAACAATGGACTATTGACTGCTCTTGGAGAGAACTGGATGCAATACCTAAATTCAACATAAACTCTTCATTTAATATTGTAGAGATAAACCTCTCCGGTGGGTTCTTGACAAAAGTTGATGATTATGCATTCAAAGGGATCACCACTCTTAAAGGTCTCAATTTCAACCATAATAACATCAATGATCTTCAACCTTATGCTTTTTCTGGCGTGGAAGAAACGCTTCAAGATTTGGATTTGAGCCACAACTTGCTTTCAAATGTAAGTGCTCTGCAGGGATTGAGAAATATCAAGTGGCTTTCACTGCGGACAAACAGACTTACCACAAAAGGTGCAGATGTATTTCACCTTCTTGGGCAAAGGTTGGCAGTGCTGGACCTTTCACAAAACAAACTGGAGAGATTTCCCCAGTCCTTGAAATACCTTGATCAACTTCAAACTCTTCTCCTTAATTGGAACAAATTGGAGGACATAGATAAGGAAGTTTTGAATGGCATGAAGAATTTGGAGAACTTGGAAATTGCAGAGAACAAACTGAAAACACTTCCAGCACAAACCTTCAAAACGTTAGATCTATTGTTCCGACTTTCAGTGTCAGGGAATGAAATTGAAGAAATTTCCCCACAAGCATTCTATGGATTGGATTATAACCTAAGACAGATTGATTTAAGTTTCAACCACCTGAAAAGACTTCAATTTTGTGCCTTTAGAGGGCTGCAGCTTTTGGAAGTTCTGGCCCTGAATGGTAACCCATTTAAATGTGACTGTCAACTAATATGGTATCGTAATGCACGACTGCCACATGCACCATTCCCTGCAGCAACATGCGCTGAACCTAATGAATACAGTGGACTTCTTATCAATAGCTTCCCACATGATGACTGTTCTATACAGGACATGTATTTGTGGGGCATGCCTTGCACTGAGAAGGGTTCCTTACCCATTGGATCCACATCACAAGTTACCTCTCGCCCCACTGGCTCTCTGGGTGGCCCTACTGGTGATACAAAGGTGACAATAAGTCCTTTAATGTCATCATCAGGCAGCTTTAGCCTTCTCAGCCTTGTTTACATTGCCTTAGCAATTGCAGTGCTTTCAGTTTTTTTCACCATAGTGTTTGCTGTTGTGGTCTGTAGGCACTTGAAAAAGTGTTCAGCAACTCTCAAGGCCCATGCCAAGAGATTGGAAATGCCATCAAACAAAGGCGCCCATGTGCATTTTAATGCTGCCGCCTGTGAGAGCACAATAGAAATCAATGCTCTGGAGGGGTATGAACAAGTGAGGGATGAGGGCTATAATTATATTAACCCTTACGGTCCAACTTATGAAACAATTCCTATTGCAAATACATTCACAAATCGCATGAATTCATTCACAAATCATAATCATGCAACTTGAGAGGAGACCCATAAAAGAGAATGAGTCTTTTTAATCTTTTTACTGTAAAAACTTCTGAGGATTATTTCTGGTCAGATTTGACATAAGGCCAAGATCACTTTGGTCAGACAGAATACCAGCACGACTGGTAGAATACTATGATTCTATGAAGCTTTAAAATAGTGCACAGTATTTTGTACATTTGTAATACCTGTATGTTTTTGCCCTTCTAGTTAATTAGTGGGAACAAGAATGTATATTTAAAGTAAGAAACCTAGAAAATAAATTTTGTACCATGTCTTAATGAGGTAGATGAACTAGAAAGATTGAATCATGGTATGAGCACATAATATAGTTATTCAATGTAAATAAGCACATTTACTAATACTACAGTTGCCATGAGAGAAATTTGAAAATGTGGTATGAAATAATTTGCCTATTGATATAAGGCAAATCAAAAGCAGCAAGACAGTCAGAAATATAGGTCTCTCTCCAAAGCTTTAATGAAAAATACTGTAAGTGAAATAAGATAATATATTATTTGTAATAGACAATGTCCTTTTAATCAGTTTGTACAAAAATGCTGTCACATTCTGAATATAGTCATTGTAAGAATATGCATATATTGGTCAAGTTTTTATACTTTACTTAGCAAAAATAAAGATCATCTTGATGTGGTCACTGTCCAGTGCATTTTATCTAACCAATCCTGAACCATTTATCAAATGGGAGGGTATCCAATCTACATAATTATAGTGCTGGTTCCGTTAAGCTACATGTCCACCACTTGAGTTCATGGCAGCCTGCCTTCAGCTCACTCATCATAAAAAATGTTGTCTCTTTAAAGATTTTAAATATTTTTTGCTGCTTTGCTTTGTGACACATGGTCTTGTAAAATGTTATTAAGAACATATCCTTTAAACTATGGTACATGTAAGTCTAATAATAACTGTTAAGACCTGTACCGATAGTTTGTAAACTATGACAATAACTGCAGTTGTGGTAATTTTGTTATATTTCATCATCACAAAAATCACTTTTTTACATTCAATATAAAGATTATCATTTCAAACTTTTGAGCTGATGTCACAAACAAAATTTCTGCAATTAGGAATGGCAGTTGACAATGTCACCAGGCTATACAAATACAATGTTTGAGGTCTATGGACAATCACGTGCGAAGACATTTCTGATGTGAATCATATTTATAAGACAATATCAGGCACTGCATCACAGTATTATAAATAATGCAGTGTGATAGTTGTTTCAGCGTGACCTCTAATTTAGACAACTTGCTGGCATGTAAAAAACACTTACGTCAAATCCTCTCTTCTTGGCACCAAAACAATTGTTGAATGAAAAGTTTCACAGTGCGTGTAATCTAGAATATATTCATGGTGTTTTGCCACAAAAGTCATCTTGTGCAGTAAGTGCAGTTGTACATTCTAGAAATTTTCGGGGCAAAACAAGTGCTTGGCTCACAGTTTTTTTATGTAATTCACATATCACAATGCAAAATCTTCCTAATTTTTGTTAAACCTTCACACCATGATCTCTTGTCCTCTTCTCTCACCATCTATCATGCTCCCGTCCTAAAAATGCACAGTGCTGACTCTACACAGTGAGGTTAACCAATCTTTGAAAACCCAAGAAAACCTTGACATTTGGACTTCATTATTTGATACTGACATCACAGGAGGGTAGGGCTGATTGCATATTCTTTTCGATGTCCTCAGGATTCTTTACACCAGACAGATGGTGGGCTTTTAAAACTTTTAATTTTCTGTGGGGAGAAAAAGAAAAAAATATGTATACATATGATATTACCGATGGTTATCTTTAGAAATGATTAATATGCCTAGAAACATAGCAGTGATTTAATTAGCATATAAGTGATATAACTAAACAAAACTATATCAAGAGAAGAAGAAATTTAAAAAACAGCATTTTATGCCATAACTTATCAATACCTATTTACATTACATATTAATAAAACACATTTCTGAAAGAAAGTGTGACAGCGCCTTTAAGTATCAATCCCTAGACTAATTTGGCATTGTAGAATAATATCATAGCAATGTGAGCAATGTGAGTTTGGTGTGAAAGACTTGTTGTGGTTGAGACAAGTACCTTAAGTGAGTCAGGTGCTGCAGGCCTGCCTCTGTCACCTTACAATGGCTGAACTCTAAGTGTTCCAGGCAGTCAGAAGTGTGCTCCTCCAGATAAAACATGCCTTCATCATCCAAATATTTACAGTTGTTCATCATCAATTTTTTCAAATTTTTTATACCTCCTGCAAATAAATATCTGATTAGTATTTTCAAAAATTGCAAACTACTCATCATTTTTTAGGATATTGTAGCAGATTTGTCAATTTAAAAATATATTTCCTTTTTCGTAATATGTTACTATCATCTGTATTAAAAAAATTAAAATGAATGAAAGTGAGAAAGTGGCAAAACATACTAAGGCAAACATAGAAAAATTAAGAATGAGAAAAGGGGGCAATTTTATGACTGTCCTGATACTCTCCTGTAAGAGAAAAGGCAAGCAATGGCATGCACACACTGGAATATACCCACTGAAATTGGCAAATCCCATTCCCATGATCTCAGAATTGTCAGCATTGATTTCCTCCAACTTGTAGCTTCTGTCCTGTTCTGGTGGCAAAGAATTGTAATTGTCTTCAAACCTGGTGGTGCCTGCCCACCGTATCTTTCCACCTGTCTTTATAATCCATTCTGCACTGCATCTATCAGGGCCAAAGTCCTTTATGCGGGTATTGTCGACACTGGAATGGCGCATATAATATTTTTGATCAGACAATGCCAAGGATTATGCTTGCTGTATTTGAAAATGCTAAATTGGATTTGGGAAGATAAAAAATCTACACTCAATACTTGTCTAAACCAAAGCTATTCATGCAGTCATTGCCAAAACTGGAACAGAAAGGTTTCAAATGCTTTAGATGTTATACTGCACCTTAGCTAGCACATACTAATGGAAACATTGTATTGTAAAATGTTGCATGGTATCCATACATGTACAGTTATTAAAGGGGTCTACCCAAAATGTCCAATACATTGCAACAAAGCACAATTAACTATAGAAAATGACCTTGAAGGCAAGTAAACACAGGAAACGGTCATTCACAAGAAAATATGGTGATTTAAAAGCAAATTTTAACACCAGGTACTATTAATATTGTTGATCCAACTGACAACTTTGTAGGATTTGTTTATGAATTATTGGGTCGTTTATGTACCATATTGGCAACTGAAGAAGAAATAGGGAGTGGCTCTTTTTGGCAATATGGTGGATACCCTGGTGCTTAACAAATCCATGGTTTGTAACCTTGACTGACAATTGGTGGCATCATTATCTATAGTAACTGACTGCCAGGAAAACAACTAGGGCATTTCACAATGGGAATGAAAAATGTCACAGGCCAGATCCCAATCCAGTCCAGTTACTAACTGGACTAGGCCAAATCCTAATCATAATCTGGTTTAGGCCAGATCCTAATTGTGTCTTTGAATTGTGAACAGCATAATGAGCATGTTTATTGGCCAAGTAATTTACAGGGATGCTGCCAGTTTGTTTGAATGGCATGTGTAATAAAACTGTGGATGTTATAGAACAAAGTATATCATATGCTGGGGTACGTAGCGCTAGCAATATTTTTTTTTCACTCAGCCAAATCACCACTGTTTTTTGTCATTTTGTTATCAAAATTGTTGTAAATTGACTTAAACAAGTCAAATCAAGTCTTTTTTCTTTAGCCAATTTAAGTAAGTTTTAGCATTTGGCTAAATTGGCGAGTGTTGCACTGTTAGCGCTACCCCAGATATGTAACTTACAGCTCTGGAAATTTGAAATTAACAAGCATTTTAGAAAATCTTTGCATTTTCTTAAGAATATATAAAAAGTAAAAAGAAAAGTGTGAATTGTCTGCCACCCAATAGCTAAACTATTCAGGCACATCTGGCCAAGCACACCTACTGCACTTGATTTACATAATGACCTTGATTTACATAATTGAACAGTGTTTGGCAGCCACACCCTTGAGAGAGTGCTGTGTGTGCCAGTTAGTAGTGAGCAGCTAAGTAATGCAGAGGCAGAATCTGAAGTAAATTTAGTTGAAAGAGGCTAAACGGTGAGATATTTTTGTATACAACTGTATATAATTTATTAAATTTCTATGTATATATTATTATATTGCTTTCTCAACTTACTATTGAATTAGTTTAGTCACAGAAAGTAAATGATGCTGAATAGACAATGGTGGTACTGGTATTTTCAACTCCATGTTATTTGCATATAAAATTTGTGTCATTTATGTATGCTGAACAATTAGTTTCTTATATGGTTTTCTTTGTTTTAGTTTCACGGCAGTGTCCTGAAAATAAAGGAGTGCCCATTGACATTTGCTTCTTTTTATTCGGTGTCTCAGATGAGGTACAATTTTTATGTCTCCTCCATCCCAGTGTTGTAAACATGCTGTAACGCTTCAACATATCAAGTGAACTGCTGAAAAGTTCTCATCAAAGTAAAAGCAGGTGAAATTTTTTGGAACTGAAGTTTAAGCTGAAGGTTGGAGATAACTTGTAGCTTAATCGTATCGAGCGCATCAACAGAATGAATCGAGCACAAAATGGGGTCAGGCAGTGAAGCCGAATGATACTATAAGTAGCAACATGTGCCTAAATGGGGACCACCCCTCTATGATTGAGAATTGAGCATGTGCAGAATGCGCATATGCGTAAATAAGCTCTGGAGATTGTCGCCATAAATGCTGTCTGACTACGCCAAACTTTTCTATATATATTCATATATATATATATAAAGAATTATACATTATTTTAGCTCTTATTTGGGTTGATTGATTATAAAAAAACATTCATATCAGCTACTAACACATAATTTGCAAGGCATTTTTTTATTGGATAAGCTTTATAAAAATTCCCATTTTTATATATAATAATGTACAATTTTTATTTCACTACTGGTATGTAGTTTTTTATAACGTAAATAACACTTTATGAGAATTTATTTTGTAAATAAATGTAATACTACACGTTACTGAGAGTAAAACATAAGGAATCTCAGTGTGCAGAAATTGGCTAGCCATGGTGCATAATATTTTGAAATTTATACACATAAACAGATCTTTGTGAACTTTTGGTTTACCCTTACAATTATAAATAGCGTCTCAAAAAAAATCCTATACTTAGTATGTGAAAGCCATCAATGATCAAAGGAAATGGACAAACATTCTTCGACTAGAAGGTATATTGCTTTTTGAAGGATAACAGCCAGCATCAGTGACACTCAGTCCTCTTTGCAATTATTCTTGATGAAAGTAGTCATATAAGAACCATGACTTGACATCCCTTGTGAACATTATTACAAGTATAGATGAAAAACAGTGGGTAAATCATAACCAGCCAAAAAGTCTTGTACCTGCTCGGCTATAATATATAAGTAGATCTAAAAAGATACTTAAAATCTAATTTCAATCCAGTTGATTTGTGTGATCATCTTATTTAGGATGTACATATATCACGAGAGAATTTCATATCACCATGAAAATATAATTTATCTTAATCACAGGGACATGTAAGCCTCGAAAAAATTGTTAACATTAATAATATGATAAAGATATGAATGAGAAAGAAAAACGTTATATGAACAAATGAATAATATGGTAATTACTGTGGTATGTTGATGTTTCAAATGAAATAATTTCCACGTTTGTTTTGTTGGCATTAAGTGTTGTTTCAGTGCGAGTATCTTTCTTTTCAACAGCTACCTTATGGGAAGAATGGGTTTCTTTTCGGGCAAGGGTACACTGCAGCAAATTACTGTTGCAGCCGTAGTGATAAGCTGTCATGTTGCAGTTGTCTCCACCACTACCTCTTTGTAAGGAAAACCAGTTTTCAACAACATCTTGACTTAATCTTTTTGGTATTATGTAGCAATCTGGATATTCTTTTTGGAATTCTTCACTTTAGATATAGTTAACTAGGTCTTTCAGACCAGTGATGCTAATTTTCATGTCTTCCATGGTCTGGTATGAAATGAAACGCCTTTTCATTTCAGCTCTTGTGTAGTATGATGTTTCAACATTATTGTTCCCATTCATTTGCATCCTGTTGCCAGTTGTGCAAGTCGTGGGTCATTTGGGCTGGAAAGGGGCTCTGTAGAGTTGAAGATGGGAATGTGGATGGGAAGATGAAGAGTTGAAGATGGGAATGTGAAAATGGGATGTGACATGTTAATGAACTGTCGTGTCTGATTGTATCTTCATTGTCATGTTGTTGCATTTCTTGCAATACCTCTGGTTCAAGTGTCTGCACTAGAAGTTTATTTTTGTGCAATTATTTATGAATGGATGGCTGTATTTGGTTTTTGTTTATTGAACTGGTCTGTCTCTGTCTCTTTCGTATGCTTGCATAAAATGCTCCCAAATAACTGTTTTTCCAGAATGTGTTAGTAAGTGCACGTGTCTGTCAGAGGTACCACTACAGAAGACATTGCTGCATAGTTTTTTAACAAGATGGGTTGGATCAGAAATAAAAAATAATGGTTAATTGGTTATTTCATTAATGGTCACGTGTGTCAAGTTACCAGTGAGATATATTGCTTTCAAATTCATTCTCATGAATCTCCTATTCTCAAAAGTGCCATCACAGATGGCCAGAAGATATCTTAATCTATGAAGATGAAGTTTCCAGAGACCCCTTTCAGAAAAGATGATGGATGGTGGTTTCTGTCATCAAAGTAACCAACAGGATATGAAAATTTGGTAAATAATGATATGAAAAGGAATTGTGTAATGTGTGAGCCAAGTAGTTGCATTGATGAAGATGAGAGGGCTGGATAATAGGGATCTTTAACTTCTGCTGTGTTCAAGTCTACAAATCCTACCAGCTCACTAGTATTTGCAGACCAGACAAGTCCCTCTTTAATTTTCACCTCATCAATTGGCAGTGCACCCACTTGGGATACTGCAGAAAGATTCAGTTTTTGTTGTTGTGAGTGCATGTTTGCCATTTTTTCAGGATGCAAGATTCTGTCATGCTGAAGTGCCGAAAATCTTGTAGTGTTCTGCTGCTTGGTAGTCTTATGTATCCTGATTTGCCCATTCGTTCATATTGTGTTTTGGAGTGATAGCATGCCAGGAAGAATTTGAGGATACCATCTCATTTGTTGGGGTTTTGTAGTGATTGCTTTCTGTTAGTCTTGCAGTAAAATACTTCACTTGTAGTAAAATTTCCAAAAATGCATCCTGCTGTTCTTTTATGTGAGTAAGTATATGGTTGATTTGCACCAAAAACGTTTGTGTACAGTGATCCCATTTACAAATGTATTTTTTCTCAATGGGTGAGATATATACGATTGATTTTATATTGTAATATGTGCTTGGCTGATGTGTTCCAGGGTGGCATCTATTGTAGGGAAAGATTCTGTGTACGTGCATGCTTGTCATTTGCAGGATTTATAATGTTTTATGAGATGTGCTTGATTGAAATCATTTAATATTTAGGAATACTTTTTTTGCAAGTCGTTACCATCTTCTGTATTAAGTGCCCGCACATGTTTTATTTGCATTTTGTACATGAGAAAGTTTTGATTTTAGATTTTTAATAGAAAAACTTTTATGCAGCCGATGAGAAAGTTCAGATTTTGTGCAATAGGAGTAGTTTTTGAAATCAGTATGTTCATTGGATTTCCCTGGATGTTATGTTATGATGACATTAATGATTTGCAAGGCTTATGGATGTCCTG